CCCGAGAATGACCTGGCCCTGATGTCAGTAGTAGTGCCAAAGCAGGGAACTGTCGCCAGATCAGTGGTTCTCAGGCTTTTTAACGCCAAAACCCACTGAGGTGTGGGTACTGTGCATATCCCAGACATTTTTAAGTGGAATTCAGCCATTGGTTGGACTCTGCCTACTGGGAACTTGGCAGCCTGACTGCCGAGTAGAGTGTAGAACTAGAACCGTGTTAACAAGTGTTGCTGTTGTCTATGAGTGTCCAATTGGAGCACCTTTTAATAATTCATGCACTAGGTTTTACATACTAGCCACTAACCCTCAGCCACATACAAAAAAATAAAGAATTTTGGGATTTCACATGGTTTGCCCTAAGTGCCTTGTCTTAGACCAGGTTACAATGGTCCCTGACCCCTCCCAGCTTCCAGGGCCTCCTAAAGGTTTCCTTCTGCAGCTCCTGGCCTTTGGTGGGGAGGATGGCAGTGGTTGGGGCAGGGTGGCCTCGTGGATGTTGGTCAGAGGCCTAAGGGGAGTGAGTCTTCACAGGCCCGTGAAGGTGGAACGAACCCGGAAGCGGTCAGAAGGGTTCCCACTGGACAGGAAGGTTGAGAAGAAGAAAGGTGAGGGCCCAGCTATCCCAGTCGCTGCCCAAGGTCTTGCAGCCCGAGGTTGCTGAGGTCGGGAGGAGGGAAGGTTGCTTCTTTCACCATAGCAGTCCTCAGGCAGATCCTTGGCCATGTCTGGGTTGGGGGCTTAGGCCCAGGCGGTCCATTCTCTCCTGGCCACAGAACCTTCCGTGGAAGAGAAGCTTCAGAAACTACACAGCGAGATCAAGTTTGCCCTGAAGGTCGATAATCCGGTAAGACCCACCTTACCGGGATCATGGGGAACCACTTTCCCTGAGTGAAGCAGTCCCTGCCACCGCCTCATGTCTAGACCTCCCTTAGAAGTCTCTGGAACTTGAGACAAATCCAGAGTCCCTCAGGGTAGGTAGGGCCGGCGTCCTTGTTTCTATTGTGTGTGTCCCAGCTGAGAGCCATCCTGAGGTGCAGTACTGGGCATCCCAGCCAGGTGGTGCTGTGGGCAGGCCCCAAGAATCCTCCAAATCTGGGTCTTTTCTGCAGCTCTCACTGCAGGGAAAGCCCCAGTGTGTCCTTCTCCTGACCCATTGTGTCGTCTAGGTGCTGTCCCTCCTTACTTTTTATTTTCCCACCCTGCAGGATGTGAAAAGGTGTTTGAACGCACTGGAGGAGCTTGGGACCCTGCAGGTGACCTCTCATATCCTCCAGAAGAACACTGATGTGGTGGCCACATTGAAAAAGGTATGGTTGGAGTCCAGAGGTGCAAAGGGCTACGGGCAGGTGGGTCCAAGCAGATTGGGGCCTGGTCAGAGAGCCCATGTTCCTGCCCACAGCTGCCCTTGGTCATTGAGAAGAAAGCCGGTGGATCAGCTAGGAGAGTCTCCGTGGGAGGTGCTGAGGTGGTGGCAGCAATATGGAGGGTTTCGGGTAGGGGGTCAGGCCAGCTACACTCCCTGAGCTAGGCCTCTCGGCGGACAGATTCGCCGTTACAAAGCCAACAAGGAGGTGATGGAGAAGGCTGCGGAAGTCTATACCCGGCTCAAGTCGCGGGTCCTTGGACCAAAGATTGAGGCCATCCAGAAGGCAGCCAGAACTGGAGCAGAGAAGGAACTGGCTGAGGCAGAAAAGGCTGAGGAGGCTCTGGTTGGAGAGGAGGCCCCATTGGAGAGAGCAGAGGATGAGACCAGTGCTGGTGAGCTGGATGGGCTCCTTCCCCAATGACCATGGTGGTATGTCCTGCTGGTCCTCTCTGCACAGGCCTGGCTGTGTCCCCAAGGCAGCTGGTGCCTGATATACTCACACACCTATGCTGCTCACTGGCTCTGGACCCGCAGAGCCAGGGTAGTGTAGGAGGCTATGTGTGTGTGAGCACACCTGGGAGGCACAGGCTTTGGGCTGGAGCTAGTGGGTCATGGATGAGCTGAGAGGAGGAAGGACATTTCTGGCAGGGACAGTGGCCTCTGGGAGAGGGAGGGTGTTCCTCCTGGGGTCACCAGATCCTGATGACAGATGCTTAGACCAGCCCTTCAGACTGGTGTCAAGTTGGCTCCGCTGAAGAAGCCTCAGCAGCCTGGGGAATAGTCCAGAGAGGTCCTCTCCTTATTTCTGTCCCAGCCTCAGCACTCATTTACTGGCCCCTCCCTTCTTCAGGGGCTTGGCTGCAGAAGCACATGCAGTCAGCGTGGTCTGATGGAGCTGACAGTCCCCATGCGACTGGGAGGCTCAGAGGTAGAGATGATTGTGGGTGTATAAGGCCAGGGCCCTTCAGGAGGGTTGAGGGTCCCCTGTCCCAAAGTTGGCTTGTTCTCCCACTGGCGCTCAGTGGGAAGGGGACAGGTCCCAGACAAGTAGTACCACAGTGTCCTATGACCCTTTTTTCTCTCCCAGATCTTTCAGCCTCAGTGAATGGTGAGGCCATATCCCAGAAGGGTGGGAGCATGGAGGACAAGGAGCAGGAGGAAGGACAGAACTCAGAAGAGGCGCCAGTGGGGGGCTCCTCTGAAGACTTGTTACACAATGAGTAAGTGTCCCTGGGGGCTGTGGCACTGGGGGTGACTTCCTAAAAAGGGGGGGCAACTTGCTGAGAAGGCACCCTGATGTCTCGGCTGCTTGTCCTGGTCAGGGTCCCAGGGACTTGGCCCCCATGTGCTGGCCTCCCATCCCCCACTTTAGCAGCAGACCTCCTCAGGATCCCCCAGGCGAGGGAGCTGAGCTGCCCTGGGTCAGACCCTAGGGATAGTGGCTTCCTCCCAACTCTCCAGGAGTGGGCACAGGCAGTCTCTTTCACAACTACCCTCAAGTCTGGTATGCAGCCGTGCTGAGAACTCCAGACCATTCAACGCACACCTACTGCATTGGGCATGGTGGGAGGAGCCTAGAGTTTTTAGTCTGTCAGTGATAGATGGAAATAGACAGACAGGAAGGCAGTCTGTTCACCCCCACCGTGCTGTGCTTCACCAGCAGCGCGAGGGAGGGCCCCGACCTGGACGGGCCTGGGAAGGACCGGCAGGAGCGCCAGAGGGCGCACGTGGACTCTGAGTCCCTGGACGACGAGGACAGCTGAGCCCCGGGCAGCCCGGCGGCCAGGCCCCGCCCGTCATGTAGATGCCCGTAGGCCTGCCCCACTCCTTCCCGGCCACCCAGGGATCAGAGAACTGTTGGGGAGATGCTGTGCTCTTCATTTGTATTTGTCCCTCGGGGTTTTTTTCCTGCCCAATTTCTGTGATTTCCAACCGACATGAAATGACTATAAAGGGTTTTTTTAATGAAAAATCATTTTTATTGGCTTGATTTTCTAGTGTTACTGGTGCAGCTGGGCTGGAATTGGGGAGAGGTCTGTAGCTGTTAAGGACCCATTTGGGTACAAAGGGTTTTAAGCCATAGTGTCACCCTATACAGTGAATGTGAGCTTGGTTTTAATGGCAGGGCTGGTGGTGAAGGAATGGGGTGGGAGCAAGGCCTTTCCAAAATAATAAAGGAAAAATAAAACTCTCTGAACTTTTGAGGCTCAAATGGAGGCTGTGGTTTGATGTCCTGGGTTTGGCTGCCCAGTGCCCAGAAAGGAGGAGCAAAGAGGCCAGGAGGGCAGAACAGTGGCTATCATGTTTTCCCCAGAAGCTGCTACTTTGCTCCACTGACTCAGTTGTTTTCCCTCTTGCCCAGGCTGCATGTGGCACTGTGACCCCCTACTCCCTAGGGCCCTGTCCTCTGTGGGGAAGCCCTTCTATTCGGCCATGGGCAGCCTCTGGGCCCAGGCTCCCCAGGGAACAGAACCTCAGCTTTGTGATCCTGTGATTGGCCTGTAAGGCCAGGCAGGTGGGCAAGTGGAAGAGGCAGGAAGGGGCTAGATTTGTAATCACCCCCCACCCCAAGCAATGCAGTCCTCAAGGCGGGCCCCTACAAAGCTGGGGGTGGGGTGGCAGCTGGTGTTTTTAATCCTCACGAAGCCCCCTCTCTTGGCCACACTGGGGCCAGCAAAGGCAGTTGGGACCCTGCCTCAGGATGATGCAATTCTAGTACATTGTGATGCAAGGCGTTTGCTAAGGGCTGGGGTAGATGGTTTCAGAGGGAGGATGGAGGAGCAGGACCACCCACCAAGCTGATAGCTGAAGGCCCAGCTGGGTGGAAGACCCTCACCCCCTGCAAAGGTAATGGGGCTCCTAGTGGGGACTGCTGAGTGGAGTATCTTCTAGACTCTGGCACATTTCATTTCTCTTTCCTAACTGGAGTGCTTGCTCACGATTTTCAAGTACAGGCCCTCTGTCAGTGGTCTTAGCAACCCTGGGCTCTTAGGGCCAGTCATGCAGAAAGGTGGATGGTACAGTCCCAGAGCTGGGAGCATAGCACGCTTAATGCAGAAAGCCCTCTGTGTGCCAGCTGGCAGGGTCCAGAGCTTTGGGGATTTGGGGCTAGGGAGGCTCTGAGGAGGACCTACAGCTGCTGCCCACTGGGGTGCAGGTCAAAGGGCCCCACCAGCCAGCTAAGCGGGGGGCTGTGCTGCACACCCTCCAGCAGCTTCTCCAGCCCTTGCCAGGCCTGGTTTACACGTTCACGGCTCTGAGCCAGGTGCTCAGCTGGCAGCTCTGTGATGGAGCTGGCAGAGGAGATGACGCCATAGAGCTCACAGAGGCTGTGCCGCGCTCTCCTGACCTGTTGCTGGAGCTCGGCTGGAAGACCCTGGAGGCTGGAGGCCAGGGTGCTATAAGCCACATGGAGCTGCTGGATGAGTCCACAGGCCCTGGACAGAGCCCCTGAATCAGGCGCCTGCGGAAGGAGAGAGAGGTGTGAGTGGGAATCAGAGAGGAGAAGACCCTGGGAGCCTTGGCCTCCTGTAGGTACCTCTTGGGTACAGGCTTTCTTCACTCTGCCTTGGAGACCCGGATCCAGCCATGACTGTCCTTCTAAAGACTGTTCAGCCTTTTCAATCTGTAAAGAGCCTAGCAGAGAAATGAGGGCTTTTGGCAGGGACCTTTCATACACTTTCCCTGGGAGTGGCATGAGGAACTGGGGTGGGCATTCCCTGGCCTGGCCTGGCGCTTTGTGTCTAGACCTTTGTATGGCATAGTCTACAAGTGGTGCGAGTGCCACAAGTTTAGAGCCACCTGTGCTGTGATGGGCTTGTCTTTCCTTTTTTTTTTAAGTTTTACTGATTTCAGAGAGAGGAAGGGAAAGGGAGAGAGAAACATCAATGATGAGAGAGTCATTGACCGGCTGCCTCCTGCATGCCCCCTGCATGGATGAAGCCTGCAACCTAGGCATGTGCCCTGACCAGGAATCAAACCTCAATCTCCTGGATCGTACGTCGATGTTCAACTGCTGAGTCATGCCGACTGGGCAGACTTGTCTTTTCTTTAAAGTGGCAATAATCCAAATTCCCCATGAGCCCATGGCTCCCCAGTCCCTGTTGGATAAAACCCAACACCTCACCATGGTCTGCACGGTCTTCTCCCAGGGTGTTGCAGACCTCATCTCCCTTTGACGCCCCATCATGATCTCTGCACATCACTAAACCCTAGATCCCTGGGCTCCCCCTACCCTGTCCCCACCTTCACTTCATCCTGTCACCCCAGCTGCCTTTCTACTCCTTGAACACACAGCTTGTTATTGGGCACTATTTTTGTTTTTTTAATAAATTTTCCTAAAAATTGATAGAGGAAAGGAGAGAGAGAAACGTCAGTTTGTTTTTTCACTTATTTATGCATTCATTGGTTGAGTCTTACATGTGCCTTGACTGGGGATAGAACTTACAACCTTGGCATATTGGGTTGATGCTCTAACCAGCTGAGCTACCCAGCCAGGGCTGGGCACTCTGTTCTTATCGTCCCCACTTCTCCCCAACTCTGCATGGCTCTCTCAGCATTCACAATATGGCTCAAAGGGACGCTCTCCTGTTCAGCCCAGACCCTCTCTGCATGGTTGTCTTGTTTCCTTCTTTACATCCCCATTTGTAGGTACAGCAGTCCCCTCTTATCCTTAGTTTCACTTTCTACAGTTTGTTTTCTTGGTCAACCACGGTCCGAAAATATTAAATAGAAAATTTCAGAAATAAACAATTCATAATTTTTAAATGGCATCTGTTCTGAATAGTGTGATGAAATCCGAATGGCTCCACTCTGACCCACCTGGGGTGTGACTCATCCCTTTGTCCAGTGTCTCCACTCTATAGTTGCCCCCTACCTGTTAGTCCCACGGTAGCTGTATCAGTTATCAAATCAACTATTGGGGTATCACAGCACTCATGTTCAAGTCACCCTTATTTTACTTAGTACCACATTAACATCACTTTTATTACAGTATAATTGTTCTCTTTTGTTATTATTTATTGGTAATCTCTCATTGTGCCTAAATTATGAATTAAACTATCATAGGTATGTATGTGTAGAAAAAACAGCATATGTAGGGTTCAGTACTATACAAGGTTTCAGGCATCCACAGGGGGTCTTGGAATGTCTCTCTCAAAGATAAGGGGGGACTACTGTTTAGGTTATCTGTCTCCCTCTCTGGGACACAAGCCCTGTGAGAGCAGTCTGTGGCTATCTTAGTGGCTGACAGATGTTGGGTCACTGCCTGAGGTAGGGCGAAGCCATGGGGAGATATTCTGAGAAAGACACCCTAGAGAGAGGAAGACTTACCATCCTAAAGGAATCCTCAAGCTGGGCCAATGTGGCCCTGGCCTGGAACTGGCCCTGCTGCAGGTAGCTCAGGGTGTGCTCGAAAGCCCGCTGGCGGAAGCTGTGGGCCAGGTCACCAAGACGCACGAAGTAGCTGCTCTGGTCTGCTGCAAGTACCCTGGGCCCAGGCTGAGAAGCTGCCAACTGAGCTGGAAGGGAAAACAGGATTCCTCAACCTAAGAGGCCCGTTGGGGCATCCAGGCCTTGGGTTGGACAGATGACAAGCCCCCACTAGAACCTGGGACCCTGCTCGTCCTAGTCTCACCTTGCTCCTCAGCATTCATTGGGTGGAAGATCTCCCCCAGCTCCTCTAGTTCGTCTGGAAGTGTCATAAGGCCCATGACACCTTCATGGCCCCGTGCAGTGGCCACACCCCCCGCATCCTCTGTGCCCAGAGTAGTCTCTTGAGTGAATGCTACCACATTAGAAACAAGGCCCTGGCTGCTTGCAGTCGCTTCTGAGGCAAGGTCATGTCCTGCACAGAGAGTGTCCGGGAGGCTGGAGACAGTGCAGGACGAAGCCTCCAAGGGGCTCAGCACAGTTTGTTGCCCACATTTGTCCATCTGCCTGTGATTGATGAGACCACCATAGGAGCTTTCCTCAGTGCCAGGTGACCGATTCTGTATAGTGCCCAGACCAGTCTGGATAGAGCCCTTGGTCACACTCATTGCCCCAGTAAGGCCAGAGGACATTGTGTCTTTGGTGCCAGTCAGGATGATCTTGGAGGTGTCCAATCCAGTTTGAACAGCGCTCTTGGCCACACCGATTGCCCCAGTGAGCCCAGTGGACACTGTGTCTTTGGTGCCAGTCAAGAAGGTCTTGGTGGTGTCCGTGCCGGTTTGGACGGCACCCTTAGCCATACCCATAAACCCAGTGAGGCCTGTGGACACTGTGTCTTTGGTGCCAGTCAGGACAGTCTTGGTGGTGTCCATGCCAGTTTGGACGGCACCCTTGGCCACACCCATTGCTCCAGAGAGCCCAGCAGACACTGTGTCTTTGGTGCCAGTCAGGACAGTCTTGGTAGTGTCCATGCCGGTTTGGACGGCACCCTTGGCCACACCCATTGCTCCAGAGAGCCCAGCAGACACTGTGTCTTTGGTGCCAGTCAGGACAGTCTTGGAGGTGTTCACACCAGTCTGAACGGCACCCTTGGCCACACCCATAGCCCCCGCAAGCCCAGCAGACACTGTGTCTTTGGTGCCAGTCAGGACAGTCTTGGTGGTGTCCATGCCAGTTTGGATAGCACCCTTGGCCACACCCATAGCCCCAGTGAGGCCTGTGGCCACTGTGTCTTTGGTGCCAGTCAGGACGGTCTTGGAGGTGTTCACACCAGTCTGGACGGCACCCTTGGCCACACCCATAGCCCCGGTGAGGCCTGTGGACACTGTGTCNTGTGTCTTTGGTGCCAGTCAGGACTGTCTTGGAGGTGTTCACACCAGTCTGAACAGTACCCTTGGCCACACCCATAGCCCCCTCAAGCCCAGCAGACACTGTGTCTTTGGTGCCAGTCAGGACAGTCTTGGAGGTGTTCATACCAGTCTGGATGACACACTTGGCGACACCCATTGCCCCAGTGAGCCCAGTGGACACTGTGTCTTTGGTGCCGGTCAAGAAGGTCTTGGAGGTGTCCATGCCGGTTTGGACTGCACCCTTAGCCATACCGATAGCCCCAGTGAGGCCTGTGGCCACTGTCTCTTTGGTGCCAGTCAGGATGGTCTTAGAGGTGTCCATGCCAGTTTGAATGCTACCCTTGGCCACATCCATTGCCCCAGTGAGGCCAGCAGACACTGTGTCTTTGGTGCCAGTCAGGATGGTCTTGGAGGTGTCCATGCCAGTTTGGACAGCACCCTTGGCCATACCCATAGCCCCGGTGAGGCCTGTGGCCACTGTGTCTTTGGTGCCAGTCAGGACAGTCTTGGAGGTGTTCACACCAGTCTGGACGGCACCCTTGGCCACACCCATAGCCCCGGTGAGGCCTGTGGACACTGTGTCCTTGGTGCCAGTCAGGACAGTCTTGGAGGTGTTCACACCAGTCTGGACGGCACCCTTGGCCACACCCATAGCCCCGGTGAGGCCTGTGGCCACTGTGTCTTTGGTGCCAGTCAGGACAGTCTTGGAGGTGTTCACACCAGTCTGGACGGCACCCTTGGCCACACCCATAGCCCCGGTGAGGCCTGTGGACACTGTGTCTTTGGTGCCAGTCAGGACAGTCTTGGAGGTGTTCACACCAGTCTGGACGGCACCCTTGGCCACACCCATAGCCCCGGTGAGGCCTGTGGCCACTGTGTCTTTGGTGCCAGTCAGGACAGTCTTGGAGGTGTTCACACCAGTCTGGACGGCACCCTTGGCCACACCCATAGCCCCGGTGAGGCCTGTGGACACTGTGTCTTTGGTGCCAGTCAGGACGGTCTTGGAGGTGTTCACACCAGTCTGGACGGCACCCTTGGCCACACCCATAGCCCCGGTGAGGCCTGTGGCCACTGTGTCTTTGGTGCCAGTCAGGACAGTCTTGGAGGTGTTCACACCAGTCTGGACGGCACCCTTGGCCACACCCATAGCCCCGGTGAGGCCTGTGGACACTGTGTCTTTGGTGCCAGTCAGGATGGTCTTGGAGGTGTCCATGCCAGTTTGGACAGCACCCTTGGCCATACCCATAGCCCCGGTGAGGCCTGTGGCCACTGTGTCTTTGGTGCCAGTCAGGACAGTCTTGGAGGTGTTCACACCAGTCTGGACGGCACCCTTGGCCACACCCATAGCCCCGGTGAGGCCTGTGGACACTGTGTCTTTGGTGCCAGTCAGGACAGTCTTGGAGGTGTTCACACCAGTCTGGACGGCACCCTTGGCCACACCCATAGCCCCGGTGAGGCCTGTGGACACTGTGTCCTTGGTGCCAGTCAGGACGGTCTTGGTAGTGTCCATGCCGGTTTGGACGGCACCCTTGGCCACACCTATTGCCCCAGAGAGCCCAGCAGAGACTGTGTCTTTGGTACCAGTCAGGACAGTCTTGGAGGTGTTTGCACCAGTCTGAACGGCACACTTGGCCACACCCATAGCCCCCTCAAGCCCAGCAGACACTGTGTCTTTGGTGCCAGTCAGGACAGTCTTGGTGGTGTCCATGCCAGTTTGGACGGCACCCTTGGCCATACCCATTGCTCCAGTGAGCCCAGTGGACACTGTGTCTTTAGTGCCGGTCAGGATGGCCTTGGAGGTGTCTATGCCGGTTTGGACAGCACCCTTGGCCATACCGATAGCCCCGGTAAGGCCTGTGGCCACTGTGTCTTTGGTGCCAGTCAGGACCGTCTTTGAGGTGTTCACACCAGTCTGGACGGCACCCTTGGCCACACCCAAAGCTCCAGTGAGGCCTGTGGACACTGTGTCTTTGGTGCCAGTCAGGACGGTCTTGGTAGTGTCCATGCCAGTTTGGATGGCACCCTTTGCCACACCCATAGCTCCAGTGAGGCCAGTGGACACTGTGTCTTTAGTGCCAGTCAGGACAGTCCTGGAGGTGTCCACACCAGTCTGGACAACACCCTTGACCACACCCATAGCCCCGGTGAGGCCTGTGGACACTGTGTCTTTGGTGCCAGTCAGGATGGTCTTGGAGGTGTTCACACCAGTCTGGACAGCACCCTTGGCCACACCCATAGCTCCAGTGAGGCCTGTGGCCACTGTGTCTTTGGTGCCAGTCAGGACAGTCTTGGAGGTGTCCACACCAGTCTGGACAACACCCTTGACCACACCCATAGCCCCGGTGAGGCCTGTGGACACTGTGTCTTTGGTGCCAGTCAGGATGGTCTTGGAGGTGTTCACACCAGTCTGGACAGCACCCTTGGCCACACCCATAGCCCCAGTGAGGCCTGTGGCCACTGTGTCTTTGGTGCCAGTCAGGACAGTCTTGGAGGTGTCCACACCAGTCTGAACGGTACCCTTGGCCACACCCATAGCCCCCGCAAGCCCAGCAGACACTGTGTCTTTGGTGCCAGTCAGGACAGTCTTGGTGGTGTCCATGCCAGTTTGGATAGCACCCTTGGCCACACCCATAGCCCCAGTGAGGCCTGTGGCCACTGTGTCTTTGGTGCCAGTCAGGACGGTCTTGGTAGTATCCATGCCAGTTTGGACGGCACCCTTGGCCACACCCATAGCTCCAGTGAGGCCTGTGGCCACTGTGTCTTTGGTGCCAGTCAGGACAGTCTTGGAGGTGTTCACACCAGTCTGGACGGCACCCTTGGCCACACCCATAGCCCCGGTGAGGCCTGTGGCCACTGTGTCTTTGGTGCCAGTCAGGACAGTCTTGGAGGTGTTCACACCAGTCTGGACGGCACCCTTGGCCACACCCATAGCCCCGGTGAGGCCTGTGGACACTGTGTCCTTGGTGCCAGTCAGGACGGTCTTGGTAGTGTCCATGCCGGTTTGGACGGCACCCTTGGCCACACCCATTGCCCCAGAGAGCCCAGCAGAGACTGTGTCTTTGGTACCAGTCAGGACCGTCTTGGAGGTGTTCACACCAGTCTGAACGGCACCCTTGGCCACACCCATAGCCCCCTCAAGCCCAGCAGACACTGTGTCTTTGGTGCCAGTCAGGACAGTCTTGGTGGTGTCCATGCCAGTTTGGACGGCACCCTTGGCCACACCCATAGCTCCAGTGAGGCCTGTGGATACTGTGTCTTTGGTGCCCGTCAGGACAGTCTTGGAGGTGTCCACGCCAGTCTGGACGACACCCTTGGCCATACCGATTGCCCCAGTGAGGCCTGTGGACACTGTGTCTTTGGTGCCAGTCAGGATGGTCTTGGTGGTGTCCATGCCAGTTTGGACGGCTCCCTTGGCCACACCGATAGCCCCAGTGAGCCCAGCGGACACTGTGTCTTTGGTGCCAGTCAGCATGGTCGTGGAGGTGTCCACACCAGCCTGGACAGTACTCTTGGCCACACCAATTGCCCCACTTAGACAAGTGGACACTGTGTCTTTGGTGCCAGTAAGGATGGTCTTGGAGGTGTCCAGTCCTGCCTGGACAGCCCCTGTGGCTATGTTCACAGCATCCGTCACTCCAGTGCAGATGGTGTTCTTGGTGCCGGTCAGCACAGTCTTGGTCGTGTCTACACCCGTCTGAACGGTCCCTTTGGCCATGCTCACTGCCCCGGTGACCCCACTGGTCACAGCCTCCTTGGTTCCCATGAGTACAGGTTGGGTCATTCCAAGACCTCCCTGGACCACACCTTTAGCTGAGTCCATCACGTTGGCTACCCCTGAGGAGATGGCATCTTTGGTTTTGGTCATCGTGGAGCACACCTGGTCCTTTGCCCCAGAGATCATCTGATGAGAAAGGACATGTATGGTCAAGAGCAGAGCTGAGAGGCAGACTCCTGCCAGTCTGATTCATGACGGGCCTGGTAAGTGGTATCTGTCACCCAGAGTCCCTGCCTCCTCACTTTCCACCCCAAGGTACCCATGGCCTTCTAGGACATAGCCTAAACAAGCTCCATCCCTGTGTTAAATTACTCCCCTAATTCAATAGCCCCCCCATTGCTGACAGCAGGTCCCTAACACCTCTGGAACCCTTGACAAGGTGCTTGGCCTTGGGTTCAGCAAGTCATTGAATTACATATTTTTGTTCATTTTTAGCAGAATTTGAGCCTGGTTTCCCTGTTATAGTGGAGAAACCAAATTGTTCATTAACATGAATGTATTCAACTAAGAGAAGGGAATGAATATTTGGAAAAGTAGTAATCAAAAAAGTACAGGAACAAGTATTGGGTTCGAGCCATAGGAAATTGTCCATAACTTTAATTATTTTTTAACCTACTTGATGGCAGTTGTTTCTAGTTCAACCAAACTACCAAAGTATTGTAATGGCCTCAGGGTTGCCACCACTCAGGTATGAGTGTGCTATTTTTACTTTAGTGGTTCTCACCTGGGGTGATCCTGCCCCCCCAGGGGATGTTTGGCAATGTCTGGGGACATCTGTGATTGTTGTGACTTGAGGGAGAGGGTGCTACTTGCATTGATTGGGTGGGGGCCTGAGATACTGTGCAACACTCCGTAGTACCCAGGACAGCCCCACAACCAAGAATGATCCTGCCCCAAATGGCCGCAGTACTGATGTTGAGAAGCTCTGAAGTTTTATTCTCACTACCTGCTCCTGCCCAGTACGGAATCAAGTGGGCACCTTGGCTTCTGTGCCTGCAGAGACCCAGGTTCAAGTCCCAGCTTTTTCCTGTACTTGCTATGTGAAAGCCACATCCCCTCTCTGAGCCAGTTTCTGAAAAGTGGTTATAAAAACAGCACCTCCTTCAAGAATTGTGGAGGAAACAAGTCAGGTACCTAAAGCACTTTGCAGATAGTAGGTGCTCAGTGAACATTAGTGGAGAGGAGCAGAAAAGAAGCACATAAATGGAGAGGGGGTGAGGAGTCTGTTCTAATTTTGGCCAGGAGGACCTGTTGAGGTCCTTCCCCCTCTGAGATGCTAAGATCTGGTTGAGCTGAGGGCAGAGGGAGACTAAGAAAGACCAGAGTCAGGGCATGTGCTGGGCAGAGGAGTTCCTATCAGGGCTCTGACACCCTGCTGTGTCCTCAGCTGACTTACCTCAGCCCCTACGATTGGCCCAGCCTTGGGGACAGGATAACATGGACAGTCCCCATGTATTAGGGATGCAGCATTGGTATAGTTCAGCCTCTGGCTGCCCCTGGGTTCAAATCCCAAGCTACAATGTCCTGCTGTATGACCTTTGGCAGGTGGCTTGGCTTCTCTGTGCCTCAGCTAATGTGTGGGGTACTATTTACTCCCTCACAGGGTGGTTGGGAGGATTAACTATTAAGCAGCATGAATAAAACACAGTGCCCAGAGCCAGACACATGGTAAGTGAGTTGCCGTTGTTTGGGTCACATCATGCTAGACACAGAGTGAGGGGCTCTCTGTAGTCTGGAGCCTGACCGTGCTGGGCAGTGAGGCAGTACTGCACCCATTTTACAGATGTGGAGATGGAGGCTCAGAGGGGAAAGATTTGTCTGGAATCCCATAGTAGGACGCACAGGGGTGTCAGCTCTCTCCTTGGGCAGGAACCAAAACATCCCCGAGGAGGCAGAGGCCATCAGACCAGGCTCTGACAGCCACTCTCACCTTGTCTGAAGGTGGCGGCAGCTTCTCCACTTCCCTGGCCATCTGCTTCGAATCAGTAGCTGCTACAGGGACAGGAGTCGGTCAGGCACCTCAGGGAAGGCGAGGGAAGCGGGCTAGCATCAGCTGCCCTAGTGCCCATTGCGCAATTGGCAGGCAGAGCCTGAAAGGTCAGGAATGTCCCCGCCACCCTGCCAGGGACAGCAGGAGGTGACATCTATGGCCGTGGGCTTAGCTCTCGTGGACCCCCTTCCCCCCAGGGCCTCAGTCCTCTGGATCTGAGGAGCTCCCTGGTGTTTTCTCTGTCTGGGTCCTCAGCGCTGGACACCCACCCAGGGAGATTGCAGGGAGAGGAGTCAAGGCCCTGCCCCACCCCTGCTACAGCTGGCAGTTGCCTGTCAGGCCTGGGTATGTGGAGCAGAAGTCAGCTGCCAAGGGCTCTGGGCCCAGAGTAAGGCCCAGCCCAGGCAGCCACCCCAACCATGGGTCCCCCTGCACCAGCCCCCCTATGTGCCCTGAGTACCCTGAGTAACTGGAGGGTGGGGAGACCCCCAGGCTCTGCCATCCCAGGGAAACCACTGACCCTTTCTGGGAACCAGAATTGCCACCCCAGTAAGGTCTGCCTGCAGAACACCCAGGCCCTGGCCCATGGGCATTGGAAACGGATGATGGGAGGAGGGGGCAGCGTGGAAAGCGTGGGTGGTATTGCAGGGAGACAGACTGTTCACACCCCCACTTTTGCAGGTTATGCTACCTTGGGCCTCTCACCTGCCACATTTATGCCTCAGTTTCCTCATCTGGTGCTAAGTGAGTGTAGTGTCTTGTAGTGTCTATTGAGATGATGCAGGCACATATGAAACGTCCCAAAGTGGCCAGAAGTCCCTCCTAGGGGATTTCCTATTGCTGGGGTCCCCTTCCAGATACCCCACCCTATGGAGCTGTGTACTTACCCTGGGCCTGGGGATGGGCAGCCTGGGGGGTGGGAGCACCTGTGGGATCAGCTGCTGGCTGGGTCTCTCTTGCTGAGCCATGAGTGTTGGCCACCAGGTTCCGGGCAGAACTGAAGCCAGGCAGGAACCCCAAGAATCTGCTCAGGGTCTATGTGGGGAGAGAGCAGCATGAGCAGGGCTGGGCTGCAATGGGGTGGAGTGGGGTGGGGGAAAGCATCGGAAAACCCTGGGCTCCCACACCTCCTCAGCCCCTTGCTTTTGGGTGACCTTGAGTTTCAAGCCTCAGTTTCCTAGTCTGGACAGTGGGCAGATGCAGTCGGCCTCATATGGATGGAGGAAAAAGTGGTCCTTCGAGTCTCCAAGGCCTTCTCCTCCAAGGCCTCCATTTCACAAATGGGGAAACTGAGGCTCAGAGAGGGGCCGTTGCTAACCCAAGGTCACAAAGTAAGAAGGAGCTGAAGTCTGCAGGAGGCACCCCACACCCCCAGCTTGGGACAGGAGGAAAGAATTAGCACCGAGGCTCTCAGGGCTTTCCCAACCCACCCGGAAGGCCCCTCCCAGACCCCAGGACTGTGGAGGTCACCTTCCCAAGGTTCTCGGGTCTCCAGGCCTTAGCAGGGGTCTCCCCCTCCTGTACCTCTCCTCACCTTGCCCTTGGGTTTGGGGGGCTCCCGGCCTCCTTCCTCTTGAGCAGACATGTTAATTCTCTAAGCAACTGGGAGGGAGCAGAGATGGTTCGTAAATGGGGACTCCCATGCCTCCTGCCCCACACCCATAGCCCCCAGATGTTTCCAGATACCCACCTGGAGACCTTGCTTCACCCTGTCATTGCTCACCTGGTCTGCGCGAGGGTCCTTTTGAGTGACTGGCGGCACAGCTGGCAGCTGGCTCTGCTTTCAGCTCCCAGGCCTTATAGGGTCTGGGGCAGGCGCAGGCCTGGCCGGCAGAGGCAGGCAGCCAGCCTGCTGGGGGAGGGCCCTGGAGGGTCACGTGCTGCACGCCCGGCCCAGCATGCGTGGGCCCCGGGCCCAGCACCTTTCCCCTGCTCTCAGTACTGGGCCACCTCTGCCCACAGCACCCACCCCCAGCAAGCTGAGTGATTCACAGGCCATCTATATCCCTGAGATACAGTCTATATGCCCTCTTGGCCTACTCTTTCCATCCATGAGATGTACATGGTTCAAATCTCATCTCTACTGGTATGCCTTGGCCTCAGTTTCCACTCCAAACTCCTCACTGTGGCCCACAATATTCTGCCCTCATTTCCCCTGGCTCTCCCCTCTTTGATCACTCCAGCCACAGGAGGCTCTGCTATTCCTCCAAATCTCTGGGCATGGTCCTGCCTCAGGGCCTTTGCATAAGCTATGTCTTCTGCCTATAGCACTTTTCCCCAAACACCCCCACAGCTCCCCACCTCTCTCTGTTCCCTGCAATAGAAGAGTACCTGACACACAGTTGGCACTTAATAAATGTTTGGTTAAATGGGCCAACTCAGGATAGTTGTGAATGTGAAATGAGGTCACACATGTGACCTGTTTATCCATGTGCCTGGTACTCAGCAGGTACTCAACAAACATTAGCTTAGCATTGTTTGGACAGAAAGGAGCAGCGCCTGTTCTCAGCAGGGATGGGATATGTCACTCTCCAGATGGGACTTCCCTTGAGAAAGGAGACAAAACATAGACCAAGACAGAGCACCAACAGAGTTGTTCTCACCTAAAGAGTGAGAACCAGGCCTGGTAGGCTTGGGCCAATCCAAGGTGGCTTCCTGGAGGAGGTATTTTGTGCCTAAGGCCAGAGACAGGAAGTGGCAGAGAAGGGATTCAGACCCAGACCCTGAGTGTGTGTGTGTGTAGAGCAGGCTGTCTGTGGTTGGGTAGACAGATGAGCAGAGGAGTAACTGCCATGCCCTCACTGGGCTGTTTCCCCCTAGCCTGTCCCTGAAACAGATCACAGTCATGTGCTGGTGGGGATTGGGGAGATTCAGCTGGTGGCTCTGGACTCTGTCCTGCTGTTGGGTCTGATGACCCCCAGGTTGTCTCCTTGGAGCCATCACTGTGTTTCCCAAACAGTCAAAGAACAAAAGGGGGGATCCCCTGACCTCTCTCCTCTAGCCAACACTTTCTAAAGGTGACATTGGTGGGGGGTAGATTCTGGGTGTGCCCCTCCCCCCACAAAAATAATAAAGATCATAGCCCTCGCCAGTGTGGCTCAATGGTTAGAGCATCAGCACAACAAAGGGTTGTAGTTTTGATTCCTGGTCAAGGGCATATACCTGGGTTATGGGTTCACTCCCTGCCCCCTGTCTGGGCTAGTGCGGGGGCAACGAGTTGATGTGCCTTTCTCACATTGATGTTTCTCTCTCTCTCCCCTCTCTCTCTCTGTCTTCCCCCCTGCTCCCTCCCTTCCACTCTCTCTGAAAGCAATGGGGAAAATATCCTCAGCTGAAGATTTAAAAAAAAGACAGATTATAAACACCGAGTCAGGTTTCATCCCCTTCTGCCACGGTCCTCCAGGGCTCCCATCTCCTTTGGGGTAAAGGCCCAAGTTCTCCCCGTGGCCCATAGGCCCTGGATGACCTGCTCCTGTCCTCTCCCTGCCCTCATGTACTCCCTTTCTCCTCCCCTCCTCCCACTCTACTTCAGGCACACAGGCCCCCTTGCTGTTTCTCCAACAGGCCAGGCAAGGTCCTGCCCCAGGGCCTTTGCACAGGTTGTGCCTCCTGCCTGGAATGCTCTTTAGTCTTTGCTCATATGTCATCTCCTCAGAGAGGCCTTTCTGGACCCTCTCTGCTATTTAAAAATATACATCTCTCCTTGAAAGCCCACACACTCTCCATTGTCCTTCTCTTTTATTTTTCTTATCATTCTGCTAACACTAAGAAAAGTAATTTACTTATCTTTCTTGTATATTGCCTGTCTCTGATTGTATTGTCAGGTCATACAGGGCAGGAATTTCATCCATTTTGCTCACTGCCATGTCCCCAAGGTGGAGAACTGCCTGGCACACAGCAGATGTTCTATAAATACAGGTGTCCTCCCAAAATGTATACACACTTTAACAGTTGATAGCTCAATTGATATTTCTTTTCAGATTTAACCCATTGGAATTAATAATTATTCAAAGTGTGTATATATTTTTTGGAGACACCCTGTATTTGTTGGATGAATGAATGAGTGAATAATAGCTTCTATGGGTGAGGTGTTTACTAGAATTAGGCATGACTTACCTGTTTTTTAGAGGAGAAAACAGGTTTGGAGAGGAGAAGTCAGTTGCCTACCCATCTGTAGGCAAGGCTGGGACTCAACCCCAGGGCAACAGGGAGCCAGGGAGGTTCCTGAGCAGGGGCAGGGAAGTGAATCAGACCAGTGGGAAGTAGTCAGGGCTCCCAGAGCTGCCCCTGGGCTGGGTCCCAGGGAAGTCAGGGGCCACCCTGACCTCACCGAATCATGCCATGGTTTCCCAACACCCTGCCTGGTCACTGGGGAATCTGAGGGGCAGCCAAGAATGTGGTCAGAGGATGGGAGGGCTCCCATGAGACTGGCCCATGGCCCTTGCCCTGCCTTTGTCTCCCCAATCCTGACCAGTGGAGAAACCACAGCAAGACCAGCAACTGGGTCCAGGGAGGTGGGCATAGAAGGGACTGACCCCTCTAACTTCTTTTTCTTCAAGATTCTGCTCCCTGTAGTTTCCAAGACGTTCATTTATACTAAAGTGTGAACTTTCACTTCAGGAAGCTGCATCTGAAGGGGCAATGCTTAATCCAGGTGGGCTGGGCACTAAAGGTGGAAGTACAGACAGAAAGGCAAGCTGGTGGGAGGGGGGCATTACTCCTTTCAATTCTCAAACCCTAGCTTGTGCCATGCAGTCACACACCTCTGAGGCCCGAGGCACCGTGCAACTGAGACTCACCCCAGCCAGAACAGAGGCCATAAGGCTGTGGACAACACAAAGCACCTTTATTCTGGAGAGCATACCCCAAACAGCAAAGCAAGTGGGTCTGGCAGGCCCAGCTGGTGCAACCCAGCATCTTTGGGGACCCCTCAATCCAGGATGTACAAGCTGGGGAAGCAAGGCAATGCTCGCTTTTCAAAGCCCCAAATAGAAACCATCGGGCAAAATGTGTGTTTCTCAGGAGTTTTGATCAGCTTCTTGGGGTGAAGGAACAGGTGACCGCAGACAGATAAATCCAGCTGGTGACTAGTCGGACCTGAGTTAGGTTCATGTCCCCATATGTCCAAGGAAAAGACTGGGGAAGGTCTGATATCAGTGAAGCTGGTCTAGATTCAGAATTCCACCGGAACCCCTTACTCTGGGCCTGGGCCAGGGTCGAGGCATTGGCTGTTAGTGCTCCTGCATGGCCACTAGGGGGCAGCAGGGTATGGAAGTGTAGGGCAGCCTCTTGCCGCCACTGTGAGGCCGAGGCCCCATCTGGTCAGAAGTCCAGCTCTGGCATCAAGGTGTGCTTGGGGCGGCTGGGGGGCTCAGGCTCCTCTGGAATGTCCTCTGGGAGACCTGTCCCGTTCCGGTGCTGGGCCTGCCAGGCTCTCTGCTGGGCCGGCCAGTCCAGATGCGCCCAGCGCGGGTCAGGGCCCCCCACAACCTCGTCCACCAGGTTCTCCAGGTCGGGCAGGGACTGTGACCGCTCTATGAGGATGGGCGAGAAGGGCCCCACGAGCCAGGGCAGCGGCATGGCCTGCACCACCAGCTCCAGCAGCTCGTCCACACAGGCGTGGGCCC